ACACTTCACCACAAGGGAAATTAGTCAAGCACTCTGAAAGTGTTTTCACTCTTAATGTGGTGTACAGGGAGATATTAGAATAAGTTTAATCACTTTATCAGTCATTGCATCACTTGTTTTTATATCAATTTTTTTGTGTTTATATCATGTTTTTGTTGTTTTTATATCATGCCTCTGTTGTTGTTATATCCTTTTGTTACTGTTTGTTTATTAATAAACTTACATATTATTTTCATATTCATTTTACTAATTTCCTTTCATCTCTCACACTTCTATTATAGAGAAAGGGCAAATAGCAATATTAAAATATTTCCACTAATTAATTCCTTCTAATGTGCACGAATTTCATGCACCGGGCTACTAGTATTAGATATAATATCTGTAAGTAAATTATAGGGGAAACAGATTCCAGAAATAACTGGGGGGGAAAATGCTCACAGAGTATTGTTTTGAAAAATTGGAAGTCCTTATTTATGAGTTTATATTAACTGGTCCTAATCCATAGTATTAAGGTTCATAGTTATCCACACAGAAACAGGAAATAAACTATTACAAGTAATCAGTAAAGAGTCTCTTAATTTAGTAAAGAACATTCCAAAATAGAGAGATACTCATTCAGAACAATAAGTGATAATAATTTATATGAATTTGATAATGGACAACATTGCATCTTAATGTGTTATTTCTTTCCTACCTAGATCATCACAAAGTATGTATATGAGCTTCTGGAAAAGGACTGTAATTTGAAAAAAATATCTATACCAGTAAGTCCAATTTTTTAAAATGTTCATACTTCCAAATAAAATAGTTTTCAATTCAGAAGAAGATTTTTGTTTTAGGTTAACTGTGATAAGTTTAAATATTAAGGTCCCAGTGTTTTGATATTGATAAAGATGATATTAAGTTGCTGTTAGTATTCCTTATCTCATTTTGTACAAGAGTTCTTAAAAAGTAAAAATCTTCAGTATTGTACACAAGATGAGGTATACTACAAAATTGACACGGGATATTAGGTACAACATGGGGCATATAGCCAGTGATATTGTAATAATTGTGTGTGGTGCCTGGTGGTATTTGAAGTGACAGAGGGGAGCACTTGGTAAGATGTATGATTGGCCGCTAGGCTGTATGCCTGAAACTAATGCAAAATAATGTTGAATGTAAACTGTAATTGAAAAATACAAGATATCTGTAGGTAAGAAATGCTAATACCCCCATCCCCAAAAAATAAGACTGGTTTCCATCCTTTTTTGAAAATGATAATATAATTAGAAGGATCACCCTTCTCTACCCTTTCGAACTTATTGATATAATTTATTATTACCTACTTATTTGAAGTGAGGTGGTACACTGGAATGATCTTTATAAGTATGTATTCCTAATGAAAGCTCGGCTTAATGAATTACTATTGTTTGAAGGTAATTGGACTTGGAACAGCCATTTCCAAACTTCAGTTAATGAAGAAAAAAATATTTTACTCATTATATAGAAATTTTGCTAATGGAAATTATCATTAACGTTATACAAGTAAGTTATAGTTACCAATTGCAAAGTCAGAGTTCTTTGTCAAATTGATATGATACTAGCCAATAACCAGCTCAAATACTACCCTTTCTTCTTAATCATTAGTACCATAACATAATTCAGTTTCATTACCTTGAATTTTCTAATGTTCTCATATTTTTTCAGTTAATATTAAAAAAAAACACATTTTTATCTTCTGAAAAAAAGTACTTTTCCAGTTTTAAAGTGATTACTATGGAATTTCAATTACCAACATTTCATTCCTTAAAAAATTGACTGAATTTCTTGGTAACGGGATTTAGTCAAATAGTAAAAAGAAATAGTGCTCGGCCCCTACTGGGAAGTTCAGAGCTAAGATAAACAGATGTCCTTTTCCATAGCATTCTGGGCTCCATTAAAGCCTCACTGACTTTAAGAGGCATTTTTATTTGTGCATGTTTAGATGTACTCTTTGGTAAATGCATGACTAGAAACCTCCATGGCCTCATTTTTATTGCACATTGACAACTTTGCTTTTTAATTTTTTCTTTTTTCTTATCACTATTTGCCTTTTTTATTTTTATTTTTTAAAGCCACTTTAACTGAGTCATTCCTCTGTTTTCCTATAATGGTTTTAAGTAAATTGGAATTACCTAGATTTGGTTTTCCACTTTCTCTCATCCTCTTCCTTCCCTCTGTGGCTTCAATCATACCTGCTGTCACTGTAATTTGTTTACTCAGGACGTCTCATACAATTGAAGCTAAAGTGATTCTGTTACACTTCATATCTCTCTGCATACTTAATTACTAATAAAGATACAATTACATAATTTTATTTCTTAGCATGTGTAGCTCTTTTAAAATTCTTTATAATTATGTACTAGTTTAATATTCAATATATATTTTCTGAACCAGGCAAGTTATAACCACTTATAGGATGCATTGTTTAGTTAAATACCTTTTATCTAAAGAAAGTCACTGGTGATTCTTGATAAGATTACTTGTTCCAAAAGTTTGTTCATTCCTTTATTTACAGAATGCCTACAATATGCCACCTCTCCTTTAGGCATTGGGAATGTAGCTAGATACAAACAGAAAAGTTCATGCCTTCCTAAACTTACATTCTAGTGGAGGAAGCAGAAGGTTAATAAACAGTTATACGAACAAATATATAAAGTAAAGCATACAATTTATTAGATCATGGCATGTGCTATAGAGGAAAATAAAAGAGAGAAAGGAACTAGAGAATTTTTGGGATATTAGTTTAAAGGGGTGGTCAGGGAAGGTTTTACTGAGAAGGTGGAATTTTTTCTTAAGCTCTGTGGCCATCCTCTTGTTGATGAAATAATTGCCCTTTGTGCTCTGTTTACATGAATTTCTAAGCCTCTGTTATATTAATCTGATTGTTTTAGAAGTAGAGGAATTTTGTTTTTGTTCTCCTCCCAGGAATAGTGACTGGGAATACTTGGAATCCAGGGCATTTTTGGTATCTAGAGTTTTTGTTTATTTCTTATTTTGATGACTGCATGGATATACACCATTGATGAAGTGAATAACTATTTAATTACATAGCAGGTGGATTATCCTCTCTGTTTGAGGGTGTGTATTACCTGCCATCACAGCTGTAGTTTCTGTTTCTGACCAGGCTGCATAGTGGCTTTCATTCCTAGTTACTTGCCACTGCTGATGAGGAATGTCACTCAGTGCCTGCTGTGGCGCATGTAGTAAATGACTGGGGAGTCATCCCTTCATTTAGTCTTTAAAATCTAAATCATATATCATCTAGTTTAAACCTAAGTATTTAAGTACAATCAAAATGAATAAAAATATTTAATTTTCATCCATAGATAGCTGGCATATAAAGTAAGGTATCGGAATATACAAATAATATTCCCTTATTAAATAATTATTATATAACCTTATGTTCATACTCTGAATGAAACTTTAAAGTCAATTTACATAGAATGGTAGATTTTTGAATTTTTAAATAGTTTCCTCTCCACCTTTAGAAATCTTAGTGGTATTTGTACGTAATATATGATTTTCCAGTAGGTGTATCCTCCAATTGGGTCTTTCTGTTTCTATTTTAAGTGCAATATTCTTCTATTATAGAATTACTAGAGGCCCGGTGCATGAAATTCATGCATGGGAGGTGGGGTCCCCTGCACCCTCTCCAATCCGGGACCCCTGAGGATTGGGCCTAAATCGGCAATCAGACATCCCTCTCACAATCCAGTACCGCTGGCTCCTAACTGCTCACTTGCCTGCCTGCCTGATCACCCCTACTGGCCCCCCTGCCAGCCTGATCACCCCTAACCACCTCTGCTGCCGGCCTGGTAACCCCCAACTGCACCCTCTGCCAACCTGGTCGCCCCCAACAGTTCCCCCCGCAGCCGGCCTGGTCGCCCCTAACTGCCTCCCCTCCCACCAGCATGGTTGCCTCTTACTGCCCCCCATGCCAATGTGGTCACCCCCAACAGCCCCCCTCTGCTGGCCTGGTCGCCCCTCACTGTCCCCCTCTGCCAGCCTGGTTGCCACTCTGCCCCCTCTGCAGGCCTGGTCGCCCCCAACTGCCTGCCTCTGCCAGTTTGGTTGCCCCTGCTGCCAGCCTGGTTACCCCCAACTGTGCCCCCTGCTGGCCTGTTCGCCCCTCACTGCCCCTCCTGCCAGCCTGGTCACCTCACACAGCCTGCTGTTCAGTTGTTTGGTCGCCCCTCACTTCCCTCCTTGCCATCTGATCGCCCCATGCAGCCTGGTGTTCAGTCTTGTGGTCACCCCTCACTACCCCCCTGCCGGCCTGGTCACCCCACACAGCCTGCTGCCCTGTCGTTTGGTCGTTCCTCACTAAACCCCTGGCAGCCTGGTCGCCCCATGCAGCCTGCTGCCCAGTCGTTTGGTCGACCCTCACTAACCCCCCTGGCGGCCTGGTCGCCCCATGCAGCCTGCTGCTCAGTAGTTTGGTGATTACTCAGTGGGGCTGGCCTTGTCGTGCCACTCAGCCTGTTTGGTCGTCCATTCAGTTGCGATGGCCCACGGCTCTTTATATATGTATAGATAGACTTAATAGCTCTGTGACCTTGGGCAAGTTATTTAAAATCTCTTGATCTCAATTTCTTTATCTATAAATGAGTATAATAATAGTACCACTTTAATAGTAATGTGATTGAGATAATATTTTTAAAAATTTTTGCATAGTATCTAGACAATAGGAAGTACTCAAAAATTAGTTATTCTTATGTATAATGACACTTAATACCCTCTATAATAAAAGCCTAATATGCTAAGTGTCTTGTCCATTATACCAATCAAAGCATAATATGCTAATGATATGCTAAGGCTGCTCAGCCGCTCAACTATGACAGTGATGGCGAACCTTTTGAGCTCAGCGTGTCAGCATTTTGAAAAATCTAACTTAACTCTGGTGCCGTGTCACGTATAGAAATTTTTTGATATTTGCAACCATAGTAAAACAAAGACTTTAATTTTTGATATTTATTTTATATATTTAAATGCCATTTAACAAAAAAAAAATCAACCAAAAAAATGAGTTCGCATGTCAGAGGAGACATAGGTTCGCCATCACTGCACTATGACATGCACTGACCACCCCCTGGTTAGCCGCTGCTGGGGTCTGGCTGATTGGGACTGAGTGAGATGGGCTGGACATGCCCTGGAGCCCTCCCGCCGTCCCTCCCTCGCCCTGATTGTGCACCGGTGAGGTCTCTCTGCCTGGCCCGCACCCTCTTGCAATCTGGGACCACTCAGGGGATGTCGGAGAGCTGGTTTCGGCCTAATCCCACAGGCCAGGCCGAGGGATCCCACTGGTGCACAAATTCGTGCACCGGGCCTCTAGTATAACAATAATGTAGGAGACATATATTTCCAATATTTTTTTTCATATTTTTATACTATCATGTCTTTTTTTACTCATCTACTGTATATGTAATTGTTACTCTCTAATGAATATTTTAATTTTATTTTAAACTTTATTACTCCTATAATTCTATAATAACCATTTTATAATTTATAGTAAGCATAATTTTTTTTCATTTTTATTTATGCCTGATCAATAAACATTTATTTATTATTTAACTTTTTTTAATTACAGGTAGATGCCTCTGAGAGTGAACCAAAGAGTTTTATCTTTATGAGTGAGGATGCTTTGACAAATCCACAGAAACTGATGGTTTTAATTCATGGTAGTGGTGTTGTCAGGGCAGGTCAGTGGGCTAGAAGGCTTATTATAAATGAAGATCTGGACAGTGGCACACAGATACCATTTATTAAGAGAGCTATGGATGTAAGTGCACTTTCTTTTATATTTTTGGGGGGGGTCATTTTATAGCTCTGCTTTATTATGTTTATAGTTTATTTAAAAATGTTTCTTATAACGTATCTCCTATACATGCTCTTATCCTTAAACTATTATTTATTTGTAATGAAAAATTGTTCTGCATTATTTTGCAGTTACAATAAAAACAAAAGATCTTAGGTGTATAAAAATTTAGATAATGTCCTTGAAATGAATATTTTTTATTCTTAATTTTTTGTTTATTATTATTTTAAATATCACTTAAACTACCAACTACTTATCAATAATATTGAAATACTTTTGAAAAAAATGTGACTGCTTTTGTAAATCTTTTCCTATTTAGTTTAATGATGTCAGAAACTAAAGGAAATCTGCTACTTTAAATTAATCTTTTATTCTTTTAAAGAAGAGATGAAATAACTCAGTATTTTAAAATTATTTCTTTAAAAAATACTCTTTAGAGGCACATATAAAATGCTTTAAGTGTATAACATACATACAAAATGGTAAATTGCAGTATTTACTGAATTACTGTTATGAATTTAAATCTTTTAAAGTCCATTTCTTTTAGAAATTGGTATTTTAAAATCATGTTTAAGGTTTCCTTTCCTATAATAGTGAAATTGTGGATTTTTTTTCTGACTTAGTGTTCAATATCTAACAGTTAGGCTACTTTTGTTTTATTGACTTATTCTTAGGCTTTGTTGAATAACCAAATTTTGCAAAAAATGGATTTTTTTTACATATAAATAGAGTTTTGCTTCAGAATAAAAGTAAAGTGGCATCTTATGTAATATAAAAATGTAAGGTTTATTTTTGTAATTAAAATTGGGAAGGAATTCTTCGATACACTGATTATTAATTACAAAGGTCAAAGGTAATATGTTCTCTACTTTGTTAACTCTGAAATGTTAATACAGTTGGCCCTTGAACAATCTGAGCATTAGGGCCACTGTTACTCCATGCCCACCCCATGTGCAGTCAGAAATCTGTATATAACTTTTAACTCACTCAAAACTTAACTATTAATAGTCTACTGTTGACCAAAACCTTACCTATAACATAAACAGTTGCGTAACACATATTTTGTATATGTTTTGTATACTGAATCTTGGCAATAAATTAAGCTACAGGAAAGAAAATATTTTTAGGAAAATTATAGGGAAAAAAGTACTTCACTGCTATACATATTTATTGAAAAAAATTCACATATAAGTGGACCTGTGCAGTTCAAACACATGTTGTTCAAGGGTCAATTGTATTTAAGGCCCAACCCAACTCTTAAAGAATATTTTGGTTAATAGATTTTGAGGCTTTTAAAATGCTGTAGATAGAATTTCTTAGGTAAATTGTATATTTTTTTCAGCCTTCATGGATATGCAAAGAACATAAAGGCATTACTACTTCTGATTGGTTTCAAACTTCACTGGTGTGTTTTTAGTAGAATTTAACTAAAAATACTGAGGTTTTATATTTAAGTAACTCACAAGAAATATTATTTAAACTGTTTCATACTTCAGGATATGAACAGTAGTTTGTGGTTAGAACAGACCTTGTTGATGTATTTTTACATTATACATGAAAAGTGATCACAATTCAGTGAATATTTGAAAATTTAATTTAGTAAAGAAAATCAGATGTTTGTATGTTTGAGAGCTAAGTGAAATACTCTGTGTAATTATATTTTTCCTGCTACGATATCAACTAAGCCTTTCCCATTCTTGATTTTTTTTTTTAATGTTGCATAAGGTTTTTTGAGGTGAAAGGTGTCTGTGGGAATCCATACCAAACATCTTTGAATTGACTATCTGTTAATATCCCAAACACGAGGGAGCAAATTTGTCAGTGACATTAGAATAGTCGGTCATCTTGTTCTTTCTTGTAAGTAGGAATAGTGTTTTGGAGATAACATTTCATTGCCTTGACTTTTTTTTTTCTTTTCTTTTCTCAATCATAGCAACTCATGATTCCTTGAAAAAAAATAAGAAGAAGCTGACTTCTAAATACTTTTTTAGTAATTAGTATATTCAGTATGTTATATACTTTGAAATTTTTAATTTATATACTTTATTCTTTTATAGTAACTGAATATGAACTTTATTGTGGTAATTTTCTACATGCTGAATATTTTAAAATAATATTTTTTTTTAGTGCAGATAAAATGATTTTATTATTTGGGCTTTACCTTTTCATAGTGTTTCTCTGATAGTTCTTCAAGGGCTGCTCTGTGTTTGTTGCGGGTGGGGGTCAGTGCAGGTGGACAGGTATGGAGAAAAGGAACCCCAGTACACTACTGGTAGGAATGCAGATTGATATAGCGATAGTGGAAAACAGTGTGGAGTTTCCTCAGAAAATTAAAAACAGACCTGCCTTTTTGACCCAACAATCCCACTTCTAGAAATATAGCTTAAGAATCTTGAAACACCAATGCAAAAGAATATATGCATCCCTATGGTCATAGCAGCATTATTTACAGTAGCCAAGATCTGGAAACAGCCCAAATGCCCATCCATAGATGAGTAACTAAAAAAACTGTGGTACATTTACACAATGGAATACTATGTGACCATAAAAAAGAAGGAAATCTTTTGTAACAGGATGGATGGCTCTGGGAGAGTATTATGCCAAGTGACATAAACCAGTCAGAGAAAGACAAACACCATATGATTTCACTTACATGTGGAAACTCATGAACAAAATAAACAGACAAAATAGAAACAGACTCATAAATATAGAGAACAGACTAACAGCTGTCAGAAGGGATGGGGATTGATGGGGCTGAGTAGAAAAGGTGATGGGATTAAACAGAAAAAAAATCATAGACACAGACAACAGTATGGTGATTACCAGAGCTAAAGGGTGGGGGGAAATGGAAGAGGGTAAAGGGGGAATAAATGTTGATGGAAAGAGACTTTAGTTGGGGTGCAATACAATATACAGATGATGTATTGTAGAATTGTACTCTTGAAATCTATATAATTTTATTAACCAACTAGAGGCCCGGTCCACAAAAATTCATGCACTGGGAGGGGAGGACCCTCATCCCGGCTGCCCCCTCTCATAGTCCGGGAGCCTTCAGAGGATGTCCTACTGACAGCTGAGGCCTGCTTCCCACAGGGAGGGGGCTTAAGCCGCAGTCTGGCCTTCATCTGCAGGAGGCGACCAGGCCGATCAGGGAAAGGTGCCACCCCCATCATCCCGCTGCTACTGCCACTGCTGGCCACTGCAACTGCCGGCCCTCCTTGGCTCTCGCAGCTGCTACAGCTTTGTCCGGAAGGACCTCCGGAAGACATCCAGTCTATCTGGTTTAATTAGCATATTACCCTTTCATTAATATAGATGTCATCCCTATAAGTTCAATAAAAAAATTAAAAAAACAACAAATAAAACCACTTTTTATTAAAATAAACTGCAGAACACCAAAGGATATATGCATATAATTTTTTTTCTCTTGTTTTATTTTTTTTCTTTTCTGCATGCATATAATCTTAAAAGTCAAGTAAAAGCCAAAGGCATATATCAGAATAATGATTATCCTTTCCTAATATTTTTCCCACCTATTAGTT